CTGAGAGCCCAAGTGGCTGCCTAAAAGAACCTGCAAAATCACACAGTTTCAAGAGTCACAAGAACTAAAACAGAGATGTCATATTTTACTATCAGAAATGAAGCCCCTGATCAATGTAATTTAGAAATTGCTCATGTTAAATACAAGAATTTGGAATTGACTTACTCTTTTTATTTGCTCAGGAGATGTGGCTTCACTGGCTGGGTCAGCATTTATTGCCAATTCCTAATTGCCCTTGACAAGGCGGTGATGAGCTCCTTTCTTGAACTGCTGTAGTCCATTTGGTGCAGGCAGATCGACAATGCTGTTTTTCATAAAATCATAATTTTACACAATTTAATAACTTAGTTAGAAGTCCATTTTAAAATAGTTAATTCTAAGTTCTAGCAAATGTAGCAAAAACATTTGCCTTTTACGCAATCATAAATTCTGAAGGGAGGGAAATTACAGTGTATCATAGGAAGTCTGTCTCTGTGGCACCATTTACATCTCTAGCCAGTTATTTTTATTGTTTTCAATGATTCCATCGCCAACTTTTTCCCAATTACAGACAGTTCCCGGGTTGCAAACAGGTTCTGTTCTGGAGTACATTTACAAGTCAAATTGCACGCAGGTCTGAACACAATGCAGGACAATGGAAAGCAGCTGTTCTTAAGTACAGGAAATTTTCGTTATGTCAGGTCTTTAAAATTATAACTATGTATGGGATTGCATTCGTTAAGTACAAGCATGCAAAAGTCAGACATTCATAAATCGGTGATCCCCTGTATTCAATTCACATTCACCATTGAGGATATTTACTATACATCTTGAATTCCACCATGTTGCCTCATCTGCCTAGACACAAGTGAATAAGTGCAAAGTCAACATGTAAGTGAAGAGCATTGACCAATAAGGTCATGGAATGAAGGAGATCTGAGATTTAAAGTAAGCGCAGAGAAGAAAAAAATCTCAAGTTTGAGCTTAGTTCTTTCGGTGTTTATTTCTGCAATTGGTTCCTGTTCACACACATTGCTATTCCTCTGAATCATAGAATCATAGCACCTTGCTGGCAATTGTCTCAAGCACTTTTCCAAATTAGAACGCGCTTGGGTTTTGATTTGTCAAAACTTGAAAACAACTATAAATAATACAATTTTGAAGTAACTGCTTGTCATTGAGAGTTGAGGCCTGCAATTTCCATCAATACAAACTTTCTCTGACACCAAAGAGATAGTTTATACACACACTAAAAATACAACATTTTTTATATGAGCAGAACAGCAATATCAGAGCAGAAACTTACTTTTATTAATTTACGGGAGTGGACATCGCTGGATAGGCCAGCATTTATTGAACATCCTTAATTGTGTTTGAGGTAAAGGGGGTAAATTGTAAACCTTGGATGAACCAGGAAATCCACTCCCTACTGAAGACTTTACGTGCAGCATTCAAGTCAGGTGACCTGGACCAATACAGAAAATCCAGATACGACGTCCGCAAAGCTATCAGGGAGGCCAAGGGGCAGTACCGGACCAAGTTAGAGGCCCAGTCCTACCAAACAGACTCCCCCCCACATCTATGCAAGGCCTAAACAACATTATGGGATACAAAATGTAAGATAGTGGACGATGACACTTCCCTCCCTGATGTGCCTTATGCTTTCTAAGCTCAATTCGAGCAGAATACCACCGGCGTGGTGACACCTGCCCCGACAGCCCCAGACACACCCGTTCCCTCTGTCACTGCTTCAGATGTCAGATCAGTCTTCCCAAGGAAAGCGATGGGCCTGGACAGTCTCCCTGGCCAAACACTCAGATCCTGTGCAGACCAGCTGGCGGAGGTATTCACTGACATCTTCAACCTCTCCCTCCTACAGGCTGAAGTCCCCACCACCTTCAAGAAGACCACCATCATTCCCATACCCAAGAAAACACATGCAGTGTGCCTTAATGACTACTGACCAACAGCTTGGACTTCATTAATCATGAAGTGCTTTGAGGGGCTGGTCATGGTCCACATCAACTCCAGTCTCCCAATCTGCCTCAATCCCCTACAGTTTGCCTACCAACATTTAGAGCTAATTCTCTATCCATGCTAATATACAACCTCCAATACAGTAGTCTCTTTATCTTATGACTTAACCTTTGTGAGATACCTGTAAAAAGCTTGCCTGAAGTCCAAATACAACACATCTACTGGTTCCTTCTATCTACCCTGGTTGAGACTTCTCAAAGAATTCTAATAAATTAGTCAGACACTATTTCCCTTTCATGAAGCCACGGTGACTCTATTTGATTAGATCATGATTTTCCAAAGGTTCTTCGATTACTTCCTTAACAATTAATTCCAACAACAGATGGTAGGCTAATCTTTACCCACTTTTTGTCTTGCTCCTTTTTTGAACAGGGGTGTCACATTGGCAGTTTTCTAATCCTCTGGCACTTCTCAAGAATCCAATGAGTTTTGGAAAATTACAACCAAGCATCAATAATCTCTGTAGCTACCTCTTCTAGCATTCTAGGATGTAAGCCTTTAGGGCCAGGGGACTTATCTGCCTTTAGCCCCCCTTAGTTTATCTAACACACTTCTTTAGTGATGGTAATGGTACTGGTACTTAATTCCTCCCCCATATCTTTTAGGATTAATGGGATGTTTGAAGTACTTCCACCACAAAAACTGATGCAAAATATCTGTTTAACTTCTCTGCCATTAACTTGTTCCCCAAAATTGTCTCCCCAGGTTCATTTTTTAAGGGGTGTATGTTCACTTTGACCTCTCTCTTCCTCTTTATATATTTAAAGAAATTCTTATTGTCAGTTTTTATATTCCATGTTAGTTTGCCCTTGTAGTTATTTTTTCTGTCTCTGTTAACATTTTAGTTCTCATTTGCTGGATTCTGAATTTTTTTCCTTTATTCATTTAAGGGAAGAGGGCGTCGCTGGCTAGGCAGCATTTATTGCCCATCCCTAAATGCCCAGAGAGCAGTTCAGAGTCAACCACATTGCTGTGGGTCTGGAGTCAGATGTAGGCCAGACCAGGTAAGTATGGTAGTTTCCTTCTCTAAAGGACGTTAGTGAACCAGATGGGTTTTTCCTGACAATCGACATTGGATTCATGGTCATCAATTGATTCTTAATTCCAGATATTTCTTATTGAATTCAAATTCCACCGTCTGCCGTGGCAGGATTCGAACCCGGGTCCCCAGAACATTACCTGGGTCTCTGGATTAACAGTCCAGCGATAATACCACTAGGCCATTGCCTCCCCAATTTATCACAGTCTTTGGCGCCATCATTAATTTTTGCCTCCTGATATGCCTTTTCTTTCAATTTAATACTCTCTTTTACTATCTTGGTTGGGTGATCCCTTTCTTAGAATTTTTTCTCCTGACTGGAATGTAATTTTGCTGACAGTCATGAATGTCTACTGCTGCTTGCTTATCACATCCCAGCTGATCTATCCACTCAGACCTACATTTCTCACTCTTGAACCGAATATTAAATTCTATCATGTTATGATCACCACTTCCCAGGTGATCTTTTACTCTGAGGTCATTTATTGACCTTGACTCATTAACTATTATCAGATCCGAGACAGTCTGCTCCCGCTTTAGCTCCATGACATATTGCTCTAGGAAACTATCCCCAATGTACTCTATGAATTCATTGCCATAGCTACGCTTTCCAATTTCATTAACCCAATCAACATGAAGATTAAAGTCACCCATAATTATTGTTCTATTCTTTTTACTTTCTCCTTTTATTTTTTGTTCGTAGCCTTTCCCACTGATGCCCTTTAGTCTAAAACCACAATCTAGTCATAGAGTCATACAGTACAGAAACAGACCCTTCAGCCCAAATCGTCTGTGTCGACCAGATTTCCACCACTGAACTAGTCCCATTTGGAGTCATAGAGTCATAAGCACAGAAACAGAACCAACGGTCCAACCAGTCCATGGCAAACATAATCCCAACCTATACTAGTCACAGCTGCCTGCTCCTGTCCCATATCCCTCCAAATCTTTCCCCATTCATATTTCCATTCAAACGTCTTTTAAATGTAACTGTACATGCATCCACCACTTCATCAGGAAGTTCATTCCACGCGCTAACCACCCTCTGTGTTAAAAATTTGCCTCTTATGTCTTTTATTAAATCTCTCTCTTCTCACCTTAAAAATGTGTCCCCTAGTCTTGAAATTCCCCGTTTTAGGGAAAAGACAACTACCGTCAGCTCTATCTATACCTCTCATTATTTTATAAACTTCTATCAGGTCACCTTTCAAACTCCTACACTCCAGTAAAAAAAAAAGTCCCAGCCTTTCCTTATAATTCAAACTTTCCATACCCGGCAACATCCCAGTAAGTCTCTCCTGACCCCTCTCCAGCTTGATAATATCCTTCCTGTAACTAGGTGACCAGAACTGGACACAGGAGAACAGGCCTCACCAATGTCCTGTACAGCTGCAACATAACATCCCAACTCCTAAACTCAAAGCACTGAGCAATGAAGGCAAGTGTGCCAAATGCCTTTTTAACCATACTGTCTACATGTGCCGCAAACTTTAAAGAATTATGTACCTGCACTCCTAGGTCCCTCTGTTCGACATCACTACCCAAGGCCCTGCCATTAATTGTATAAGCCCCACCCTTGTCTTTTGTACCAAAATGCAATACCTCACATTTATCATGATTGAACTCGATCTGCCATTTTTCAGCCCATTGACCCATTTGATCAAGATCCCTCTAATCTTAGAAAACCTTCTTCACTGTCTACGATGCCACCAATTTTGATGTCATCCGCAAACTTCTTAACCATGCCTTCTATATTCTCATCCAAATAATTTGTATAAATGACAAACAAAAGAGGACCCAGAACCAAATACTGTGGAACACCGCTGGTCACAGGCCTCCAGTCCGAAAAGCAACCCTCCACCATTACTCTCTGTCTCCTGCCATTAAGCCAATTTTGTATCCATTTGGCAAGCTCACCCTGAATCCCATGTGACCCAACTTTACTAATTAGTCTACCATGCGGAACCTTGTCAAATAAACAATGTCTACTGATCTGCCATCATTAATCTTTTTGGTAACTTCGTCAAAATAATCAAGTTTGTGAGACACGATTTCCTCGCACAAAACCATGCTGACTATCCCTCATTAATTTTTGCTTCTCTAAACATCTATAACTTCTATCTTTTATAATCATCTCCAACACTTTACCCATGATGAAGTAAGACTCACAGGTCTATAGTTCCCTGAATTCTCCTTACAATCTTTCATAAATAAAGGTACAACATTAGCCACCCTGCAGTCATCAGGCAGCTCACTCAGTTATAGATGTTGCAAATATTTTTGCAAGGGATCTTGTAATTTCCTCCCTTACTTCCCACAATATTCTGGGATACATTTGATCAGGTCGTGGAGACTTATCCACCTTTATATTCTCTAAAACCTCCCAAACTTGCTCTTCTGTAATGTGAACTGTTTTTAAAACATCAAAGTTTATTTCTCTGCATTCTCTTGACTCCATTTCCTTCTCCAGAGTAAAAACTGACATGAAATATTCATTAAGTATCTTTGCCATCTCCTGGGGTTTAACACAAACACAACCTCCTTGATCTTTAAGAGGCCCAACCCTTTCTCTAGTTACATTCTTGCTCTTAATGTATTTGTAAAATCTCTTTGGATTATCCTTAACCCTACCTGCCAATGCTATCTCATATCCCTTTTAGCCTTCCTGGTTTCTCTCTTAAGAATACCCCTACACTCTTTATATTGATTAGGAGATTCAATTGAACTAAGTTGTTCATATCTAAAAAAAGATTCTCTTTTATTCTTCACTAGAACCTCAATATCTTTATTCATTCATTGTTCCTTAATCTTACCAGCCTTACCCCTCACTCCCAACAGGAACAAAATGCCTCTGAACTCTCATCATCACACTCTTGAACGCCTGCCACTTGTCAGACGTCCTTTTACCTGCGAATAGTCTACTCCAAACAACTTTTGAAAGTTCTTGTTTCATACAAGTTCTTGTCTCATACCGTTAAAAATTGCCTTACTCCAATTGAAAACTTTAACTTTTGGGGACGGCTTATTCTTTTCGATAACAATTTTGAAACAAATAGAAGTATGATCGTGAGACCCAAAGTGTTCCCCTTGGCCTATATCCCGCTATACCTTTCCTATCCATTTGCCTGTCCAAATGCTATTCACCTTATCTATGCCCCTTATGATTTTGTAAACCTCTAAGATCACTTCTCAGCCTCCTACACTCCCTGGGGAAAGTCCCAGTCAATCCAGCCTCTTCTTATAACTCAAACCTTCAGTCTCAGTAACATCCTTCTAAATCTTATTGCACTCTTTCCAGTTCAATAAAATCCTTCCTATAGCAGGATGACCAGAATTGTACGCAATACTCCAAATGTGGCCTTACAAATGTCTTGTACGGCTGTGACATAACGTCCCAACTCCTGTACTCATTGCACTCTAGAGATTAAAATGTGCCATCTAGGCTAATATTTTACTATGAGTAATTGCTACGTTTTGTTTCAGATTAAGAGTTCAACTGAGAATCCACCTGCCCACTTGGATGTGAAATATATTCCATGGCAAAATCTACTGGAGGAAAACCTTAAAAAGCCCCCAAAATCAGGTTCCAGGCTTCATGATGCATTGGGACATTGTGTGTACAAACTGGCACCCACGACTGCCCACATAACAACATTGCCTATAATTCAGAAGTAATTTTCTGATAAATGCTTTGAGATGCCCTGTGAAAGACAACATATATATCTAAACAAATCCTTTCTTTCCAAATACTGTACCACTGTTTTTGCCATCAAGTGAACAATTCAAAAGTATTACAGGTGGGGACCAAGGCAAGTTACCAGAACCTCCCACTCCAACAGATCAAACTGTCCTGTCATAAATCATTTTCTTTCATCACTAACTACCATGCATATTTTAATTGAAGCTCAAGTAGGCATTGTTATATATATTAAATATTATAGTGCCTTATGGAATTCTATTTCCAACAGATACTTTAATTACAGTAGATTATCAATTGACAAAGTAAATTGGTTCTGACATCAAATATTAGCAATAAAACTCAAGAGTGACCAGAAATGCTTGTCCCAAATCTGTTACTGAAGTACAGATGGCCAATTTTATCAATTAACTGTAGGTTGAGCTATTTTGTTTATTACTGTGCCAGTGTCATCATTCTAATGTTCTGAGGAAGGGTCATTGGACCCGAAACGTTAACTCTGTTTTCTCCTTCACAGATGCTGCCAGAGCTGCTGAGCTTTTCCAGCAACTTTGTTTTTTTCCTGATTTATATCATCCGCAGTTCTTTTGGTTTTTATTTTGATCATTTTAATAATTGTGTTTGGTAAGTGTGATAATTTCTTGAGCCATTGTCTCAATAAGAGACAATCTAACCGCCAGCCCTTGACATTCAATGATGTTACCATCACTGAATCCCCCATTTTCAACATTACAATTGGGGATTACAATTGACCAGAAACTCAACTGGACTCAATACATAAACACAGTGGCTACAAGAGCAGGTCAGAGGCTGGGAATATTGTGGCGAGTCATGGCATAAGTCACGGGTGTGATGGAATACTTCCAATTTGCCTGGATGAGTTCAGCTCTAATAACCCAAGAAGCTTGACACCATCCAAGACAAAGAGCCCGCTTGATTGACACTACATCCACTGGCATTCACTCCCTCCACCACCAACACTCAGGAACAGCAGTATGTACTTTCTACAAGATGTACTGCAGAAATTCCCCAAAGATCCTCAGAAGCACGTTCCAAACCCACAACCACTTCCATCTAAAAGGACAAGGGAAACATTTACAGAGAACATCACCACCTGCAAGTTCCCCTCCAAGCCACTTACCAACTTGACTTGGAAATATAATGCCACTTCTTCACCGTCGCTGGGTCAAAATCCTGGAATTCCCTCCCTAATGGTATTGTGGGTCAACCCACAGCAAGGGGACTGCAGCGGCTCAATTAGGCAGCTCACCACCAATTTCAAGGGCAACTAGGGACTAAATGCCAGCCAGTCAGTGATGCCCACATTCCACAAACGAATAAAAAAGTTTTAAATTAAGCATGAATTTAAATTAAATTTTACTTTTAATTGCATGCCAAGGAAAACATTGAGAGGGAGAAGAGATGAAAATTAAACATGACATTTTCTCATCCCTCAGCAACCGACACTCCAGGGAAAATAGTCCGAAGCTATTCAGTCTCTGTCTATAGCTTAAACCCTCCAATCCTGGCAATATCCTTGTAAGTCTTTTCTGAACCCTTTCAAGTTTCACAACATCGTTCCTGTAGGAGGGAGACCAGAACTGCATGCAGTATTCTAAAAGTGGCCTAACCAGTGTCCTGTACAGCTGCAACATGACGTCCCTACTCCTATACTCAATGCACTTACCAATAAAGGCAAGCATACCAAACGCCTTCTTCTGCTACTTCGCTTTCAAGGGACTATGAACCTGCACTCCAAGTCTCTTTGTTTAGCAATAATCCCCAGGACCTTACCATTAAGGGTATACGTCCTGCCCTGATTTGCCTTTCCAAAATGTTCACCTCACATTTATCTAAATTAAACTCCATCTGCTATTCCTCAGCCCATTTGCCCAACTAATCAAGATCCTGTTGCATTCTGAGGTGACCTTCTTTTCTGTACACTACATCATTAATTTCAGTGTCATCTGTAAACTTACTAAACATATCTCCTATATTCACATCCAAATCATTTGTACAAATAACAAAATGTTGTGGACCCAGCATCAATTCTTGTAACACACCTTTGGTCACAGGCCTCCAGTCCAAAAAAGCAACCCTCCACCACCGCCCTTAGTCTCCTACCTTCGAGCCAATTTTCTATCCATATGGCTAGCTATCCCTATATTCCATGTGATCTAACCTTGCTAACCAGCCTACCATGTGGAACCTTGTCGAATACCTTACTGAAGTCCACATAGTGGCTAGTCCAATTTAGTTTCTGGTCAACAGTAACCCCACAATGTTTATAATGGGGAATTCAGTGATGGTAATACCATTGAATGTCAAAGACCGGTGATTAGTTTGTTATTGGCGATGGTCATCGCCTGGCATTTCTGCAGCCAGTATTAATATTCAATAAGAGATTTAGATATCTGGCACTTATTATTATCACTAGTTGGCTTTGAAATGGTGATGATTAGCTAAGTGGATTGCTAGGCCATTTCAGATATCCTTTCTTAAGGGCTATTAATGGTCTAGATTGACTTTATTGATAGTCTCATTACTGGTTGATGTTTTCAGATTTTAGTTTTATCTTGTTAACTGAATTTAAGTTTCCGACATTGTGGTGGTATTTGAACCTTATTGTTAGTCCAGTTCAGTCACATAAACACATTGCAACAGTTTCAAGTTGCATTCCCACATTTCAATCATGCCAACTTAAATCATGGGGCGGCATGGTGGCTCAGTGGTTAGCATTTCTGCCTCACAGCACCAGGGAGCCAGGTTTTATTCGACTTCTGGGCAACTGTCAGTGTGGAGTTTATACATTGTCTCCACGTCTGCATGGGTTTCCTCTTGGTGCTCCTGTTTCCACCCACAATCGAAAGATGTACAGATTAGGTGGATTGGCCATGCTAAATTGCCCATAGTGTCCAGGGATGCGTAGGTTAGGTGGATTAGCCATGGAATATGCAGGGTTTTAGGGACAGGATGGTATGCTCTTCAGAGGGTTGTACTTGATGGACCGAATGGTCTGCTTCCACACTGTAGGGATTCTAACTGAATTTAATTTCAACAGTCTCAAAATATGCAGTAAAGGGAAAGTGTAAATTACATTAAACTTACTATCTTTATAGCCAGAGTCTGTTCTGCAGTTTTGGATATCAGCTTCTGAGGAGAGATGTACCAATATTGGCATTGGACAGTTGACATTCCAGTTAGATACCACTGATAAAATTCAGATGTCCTGATCAAACAGGCTGTCAAATAAAATAAAGAGCATAAAAGTTAATGCTTCATTAGTCTTTGCTTATATACTAAATAGGCATTTGGTAAAATTGTACTTTGGTTTGCTCACAAAATAAGCTAAAGGCACAGTGGACCAATTCATAACTTATGCTACAAAGGCCTACCAGTCAAAGAAGATATCAGCTTCAGTCTCTAGTTAGGTGATTTTGTCTGAGTTGGCAGCTGAGGACTCTGATGAATAACTGCACCAATGTGCTTGACATCAGGGATAAAGCCAGCCTGCTTATCTACTCCTGTGCGCTAACCAGTGATTCGACAAGAAATGGAGACCATTCAGTGACATATTCAGACAAGTACATTTTAAAAGCTTAGTTTTTTGATAGCAAGGGATCCTAAGGAGTAATCTTATTTAGTGGGCTGCCAAAGGAAAAAAAAACCTGTCCTACAGCAGGAATCTCAAACAGGCATAAGACACCTCGATGGAATAAACAAGCTATTAAAACATGCTTTAGACATAGGAAACATGTAGCAATGTTCCTTTTTTCCAATATGGAAGATGGAGCAATATTGGACAGAAATTCAACTGCATTTGCTGTCCACAATGTTGCGGCTGAGTAGACATATTAACAATGAGAACAAACAACCAAATGTATGGTATCAAGCCTGTACTTGACTGAGTGTGGCATCAAGGAATCCTAGCAAAACTGCAGTCAATGGGAATCAGGGGGAAAACTCTCTGCTGGTTGGTAGAAGGTTGATAGGTGGATGTTGGAGATTAATCATCTGAGCTCCAGGACATCTCTGCAGAAGTTCCTCAGGGTAGTATCCCAGATTCAATAGTTTTCAGTTACTTCGTTAATGGCCTCCCTATATCATAAGGTTATAGAGGTATAGGTTTTGAGAAGCTAAAGGAGCAACTGAAGAAAAATCCGAAATGTTTAGTTAGAAAATTCCTGGGCTTGTGGCCTAAACTGCTGAAGGCGTGATTGCCAATGTTGGGCTACAGAAAGTGTCAAGCTCTTGCAAGGATGTAGATCCGGAGCAAGTAAAACTGTGAAGGTAAGGCACGGAGGAATTTGAACAAATGGTAAAAACTGTAAAACAGAGATACTTAGACTTCAAACCAATGTATGACAGCAAGCACGGGGAAATCAGTGTGTAGGACTTCGGATGGTTTAGAATAGGCAAGAAAGTTCACTGAGTGTACAAGTTGTGAGGCTTACTAGGGCAGTTCAGTTAGCGATGTAATAGGGAAGGGAACAAAAATTTGGATAGGAGTTTCAGCAGCAAATAAACTGAGATACGAGTAAAAACAGACCCATTTTATAATCCTTGTAGTGGAAACAATGTGGAGTTGGAAGCTGAGCTCAGGTTTAAACAAGATGCAGGGGTTGCAAAGTCTGGTTCAGTTTACAAATGCGCTCGGTAGTACTGAACTCGAATATTGCTGTAAAAAGGAACATGTTGCAAGAAATAAGTACCAGCCTAGCCCAAAACGTCAGCCTTCCTGCTCCTCTGATGCTGCTTGGCTTGCTGTGTTCATCCAGCTCTACACCTTGTTATCTCAGATTCTCCAGCATCTGCAGTTCCTACTATCTCTGTTGCCAAAGCTTCTCATTTTATATTTTTTAGATAATGCTAGAATGGCAAATTTTAAATGATCACAATAATTTTTACTACAGGATAAAAATACAATGATTCACTGGTTGATTGAGGCTTTATCATGTAGGAAACATAGGGGAACTATCGGCTCCTGAGCTCTTTGGTAATTCAAACAAAGCACAAGGCTTGAATACATTCCATTGGTTTGCCAAAAGGGTGCCCCTGCAAATAACTGCTTGTCATTTCTAGCAAGTATAAATGAGCCACATTACAAATGTGATTATTTATCATAACTTAATTGTTAATTTAACTATTAAAGCACTTAGAATTATTCGGCAAATACTGCTAAACTCACAGAATCACGTCTAACAGTAGCCATTTTGTTCTGAGCTGCTGGTGACTATGGCCTATAGTTTCAGGGGATCGGAAGCGTACTGACAGTATCACTACACTCGTAATCCAGAACACTAGGCTATTTTTTGGGAACACTGGTTGGAATCCCACCCATGCCAGATGGTGAAATTTTAATTCAATAACAAAGAAGAGCCAGCCTAATAGCAACCACGTAAGCACTGTCGATTGTTGTAAAACCAGTGAACCAGATGTCCTTTAGAAAAGGAAATCTGCCATCCTTATCTGGTTTGGCCTACATGTGCCATTTAAAATAGTTGACTCTTTGGGCAATTATAGATAAGAAATAAGTACCAACCTAGCCAGCGACACCCACATCCCATGAATTTAGATGAAACATTGTATGGTATTTGTGACTTTAATTCAGCACTCTGGCAGGACTGGTAGACTGATTGGAGAAGATAGAGTTGTAGAAAATTAGGTACAGACTTGGGTGACAAAAACACATTGAAGGACATTAGAAAGGAAAAGATGATTGAAGATACATTGGTGATTTGCAAGGCCAGAGTCAACAACTGAATTTATTAAGGCTTTTTTTTTAATGACAGTCATGCTTAAAGGGAGGTAAGGTAAGCAACTACAATATGAAGTAGAATGGGGGTTGGGAAGGGAAGTTACATCATTAGCAAATTTAATGATTAAGGTGAAAAGAATAGTAGGCAGATCTCGTTTGCAAGAAGAGTTCGGAGAGAGCATGAGGAAAGAAATTGGAGAAAGATGACAGTTCAGGCTCAGGCTAGATTTTGAATCTTGGCTTGACAGATATGAAGAAGCACTGAATAGATAGACTATCTCTTACTACAAAAAAGAAACTTCATTCTAGCTCTCTAAATATAGCAATGAATAACAAGTATCCTTTGGATCATCCAGTTGGCAGCCAAGTCTTAACTGCCGATGCCTTAGAGTGCTAATTATACAATACTTTGAGAACTTGCTTAATAAAAGTACTATACGCTTACACGGTGCTTTTTTAGCTCCCATAAACTCACACAGTGAAATTCAGCCCATGTTGCTATTGAGGTGAACAAGCAGATATTCACTGAAGGGAAAAATACTGACCATAGATATGTAAGTGTACCCTTCTCACAGTGATTTTTGTCTGTTGCATTTCAGTTCATACTGAAATTGATTATTGCATTTGTATCCTCGGCATGCTGGCCCCTTCTGAGAACAACGCCTTTAACAGGGAACAGTTAGAATTCATGACTTTGCGTGGTTTTACACAGATTCAATTGTCCTTGTCGATACACAATAAAAACTCACTTAGTTTTTGCTGAAAAAATTGGCTATGGAGAAAAGATGACATGCTGAGTACATATATCAGAAAGACTTACAATACAATAGATGCTTTCAGACGACCACATCCTCCTTACTGTGGGGATCACTGGCTAGAGAGACAGAGATGTACAAGCAGCGACAGTGAGAGTAGGACTGAGGGACACACTGCATGAGCATGAGCATGCCACAGAGCAGCTTACAATTCTCTCACCTGTCCTCCCGGCAGCAAGGGCACTGTGCCAATGACGAGAGGATAAGGGAAAGGGCTGGCCCAAGTATTTAAGAAAAGAAACCACAGGGCGGCGGCAATAGAAAGGATAAAAAAGCAGATTCTATTTTATATGAAAACAGAAATGTTTCTTTACCCAAAATAGCTTCAAGATTTCAATTGGTGATATTTGAATTGCTTCATGAGATCTACCCACACTTCATGAGAGAAAAAAATGGTAGATTTAATTATTTTCAAATGGTTAGATTTTTAAAATTAGTTTAAGTAAAACTACACCCGCACACACTACAGGGAGCACTGTGGGAAGGGCTGAAAAACATTCAAGGGAGGATTGTAGAACTGGCTAAAATCCATAGCAATTAAGGAAGGGTGTATATGAAGTTTATAGTGTGTCGGAACACCCTCCCTCTCCTATCCCCTATGCCTGGTGAATATGTCCTTTGCATAGTGACCTCCACACAGTACCTGAAAAACAAGCACTAAATACTGAACCAAATGCAACCGTTGAATCACTGTTCAGAATTCAATTGTTAAATGCTGCTGCTGTTGCTTTTTAAAGCCAGTACCAGTGGTGCTCAATAGTTGCAAATGTTGCCAAGAAAACGCCCCTTTGCTGCCAGGCCGGTTTGAACTGGATTACCCCACCTCTCATTTTTCTGCCTGCCCCTATAGCCCTTTGCAGCCCTTTGCATGAGAAGACAGCATTAGGAATGTGATCTAACAACATGCTAGCAGATATTAACTCACCACCACTCCCACCCTCTTACTCCCCATTAACAGTCTTTCTTATTAAGCTGGAATGTTTATTCAGCCTCTCCTACTCATTTTCACACAGCTAAAGCTGTGCAATATACTTACAACCCACCCAGGTTAGGAGGTGGGCAGTTCGGAATTGGCATCATCAGTTAAAACATTAACACTTGAAGTGCCAACTTTTTTTTGCATTGTACAAGGCTTCCCTTCTGTGTGTCTGACAGAGGGCTACACAGCCAGAATATAAAGATGTTTGCACTTGTGAATAAGTTTACAAAAATATTCTGCAATCCAAAAAGTTTTGCTTCGTTTGCCAAGCGTAAATTAAATTCTGTTAAGTGGCACTGAGTGTTCAAGAAGAACATTTTTCCCCTTAGTTGGTAGCATTCTTGTCTCTAAACCAGATGTTCACGAGTTTAAACCCTCTAAGGGACTGCCTTAGACTTCCATTAATACTCCTTCATTCAACATCACTAGAACAAACTACCTGATTATTCATTCACATCCTTTTTGTTTAAATTGGCTAGTGGGTTGCCCTGTGTTGGGTTGGTGGTGGCGTAGTGGTAAGGTCACTACACTAGATTAATAATCCTGAAACCAAGGCTTACGTGTTCTGAGGACATGGGTTCAAATCCAATCATGGCAGACCATGAAATGTGAATTTCCTAAGTATCTGGAATTAAAAGCTACCCTAATAACAACCCATATAATCATTGTTGATTGTCATAAAACCCATCT